CTGCTATTTATGTAAATATATCAGTAAGCTTTGTTTTGTTTTTCTTTCCTTTTGACAGCTACACTTGAATTGTAAATATCTACAAACACAGCTCTGAGTTTTGTTGACTTGCATTGAAAATAAAAATATTAGGAAATCAAATCCTACTGGTAGATACTGGTCAGTTGTTTGCTTGTGTTCTCTCATTTGTCTCCATCTCTCCACTGTCTCTTGGTTTACACTTGGCTTGGAGTCTCATGGAAGCAGAATATTACGTATTTCTTAAACACACAGACCAAATCCCTGCCATGGGTTTGGAAGGGTTTTGTAACACAACCCTGGAGAGCATGTGCAATTACTAGGATATAAATTAACTAGCTGTCATCTTTTTAGACTTCCTTGATCTTAAAGAGGATAAGGAGCACTGCTCACATTGCATTACTGGGTTATTTTCTTTGTATCTGCCTGATTGGATTTCTAAATACAAGTTGTTCTGTGTTTATCTGTTGCTTCCCCCACACTCTTTTGTACTAGAAGACTAGAAGCCTTAAAGATAGAAAGCTCCTACTGGTTTTGTGCAAAGCAGTGGCTGCAGAGATGACACCTAAATCAGTGCAGGCATCGTGGGGAAGTGGGTGTAGGTTGCTGACCCAAGAGGGTGCTGCTGCTGCCTCTTGGCCTGGAGTCTCTGCACGCTGATGAGTCAGGGAGCAGGCACAGAGCTGCAGTTCCAATATTGCACACATCATACACTCATACTGTGCTATCTAGATGATCTTGCTCCCTAAATGCTATGACAGTATTTTAGGACAAGTTTCTTTACTTCTTCAGAGGTGTTCTGAGAGCCTTTTATAGACCTTCTATTATTTCTTTAAATACTTAGTTTGTATCTTCTTACAGTTCATCTATTTGTACTCAGTTGGGCAACGGAAGATTGATCTGATGCTTATTAAGAAGGAACTGCTCTGTTCTCTAGGAGGAAAGCTTTTCTTTTGAAATATCCAACAAACACAATACTTAACCACAAACACCATTTATTTTCATATAATACAGAGCTAGTTTTCAAAACTTTATTCTTTACTGTGCAGTTATTCTGTGCAATATTCTCTTGGATATTTTAAAGAAAACATCTTGAAAAAAATTTTTTTAAAAATATTGTGCAGCCACTTTTCCATTTAAACTTATTTCTTGTAGTTAATGGATCCCGAGTTCCTTGTGTGTGAAAGATCCACTCTGTGTGTAAAATTATAAAAAAAATGTAACACTTCTGAAATATTTTTAAAAAATATATTGTTCTGAAGTTAAAGTTGATTGTCTATAATTTAAAAAAAATCAATTTAGGATAATTTTTATCTTTTTATGTGTAAATTAAGGTAAATACATGTAAAGTTTATTAGTCATTGTACTATATTTTCATGAAGTATCACTTTATAGGAAATTTTTAGGAAAAAAGGTAAAAGATTAATTTTCTTGCAATTCTGTTACTTTTGTCAAGACTTATTAATTCTCATTTGCTGCTTCAAGTTTTATCACAAAATGGTTCTGAATAATCACACTTGTGTCATGTTTGTGCATTTTTGTTGACTGCATGTCTGGTCCAAATTTCATGGAAATACCATTTTTCAAGCTTCTAATAACAAATGGTGATATGAGGCAAGGTTTGATGATTGATCAGTATTTTTATATTAATGCTAACTTTTTAGACAAGAAAAGCATTCAGAAAAAATCCTACTCTTAAATTGATTATTTAGAACAACTCATCCCTGAAGTCCCAGTTTTGCATCACAGTTGTGCTAGTTGTTTTGTGCTTTTTGGCTTATCAAGTCACTCTCCAGATTAGGGCCAGCTTGGGTCCTAACAGTCAAGTGTGTTTTGCTCAATGCCAGGTTCACTGGAAAATAGGACCATCTCAAATCTAAGGTAATTCTCATTTCTCGAAGAAGTAAAACAATATTATAAGACGAAGGACAATTTACTGCTTCCCTGCCCCAGTGGAGTTGCTTCCCTTTAACTTCAGTGATCCCTCATAATCTCCTTCCCATGCATTTGGCCATCTTGGCACAGGTGTGCAGTTGCTCTGGGCATGTGGAACAAGGCGGCTACACTGGCTGCACCTGCCTGACCTATTGTCTGGATTTCAGCAGCAGTGACAGGGGTTCCCTCTCTGTGTGTTCTTTCTTCCCTTGCAGTTCCTCTGGGGAAGCATAAATTTACTTGGAAAAGGCCTATGAAAAGTGCCTTCCTCCAAGTGCACACAAACAAAAGCACAAGGTTCTGGGTGCTCATAGTTTAGGCTCCCTTGCAGAGCTTTTCAGAAATTTCAAATGAGTTAAATCAATGCTGAACCTGGTGGGTCTAGATGTGCTGGACTGTACCACATGGCGTTAGAAGTAAAGCTGCACAGTAAACCTGTACCTGGAGTATAGTTGATGGAGATGAAAAGCTGGATATTTTTCAGATCTTAATTTCTGAAAGAGAAATCAGGTTGCCTTATGTTTGGGTCACTGATGTTATAATGGACTATCATACTTCAGAGTTTAAAAGAAAAAAAAAGTACAATGTAATTAATATGCTATCTAAAATAAGCTCAAGCTGTGTATTTGTGTGCTTTAAAAATATAATTTGTTCCTGGTTTAGTATGTAAATTTTTTTGAGCTTTTAGCTTTCAAATGAAAGCTGTTATGTGATTAAATGTCTGCTATGAAGCTTATTACTGAAAGCCATGCTGGTTCACATTCTCAGCCTGTCACATAAGTCTCCACACACTCTTCTTGAAAAATCCGAGCTTTTTCAGTTCCCACCCCCAGTTTCTGGTACTGTGTTACTAAGACTGTAATGCAGGAATAGATTGTTGTGTTTAAAATATGCTGTGCTGTGCATTCTTAATGGCTGTTAAAACTTTTCAGTATTTTGTTCAACACCAAACTAACTTTGAACAGTGTTTCTTGTCACTTTGTTTTGATATTCAATTTTTCACCTCGTTTACTTCTGCAGTTAAAAATGCTTTGAAGAATACTCTTTTTTTTATAGTTTTGCATATAAATTTTAATCAAAGTAGAGGATTATCTGTGTTCACCTAGTTGAAAACATCTTTGTTTATGGGCTAAAGCACAGAATCAGTTCACTTCGTTTAGACAAAGGGCTCTGTCCAAGCTTTTGGACAGAGTTCTTGCTTTCAGCTGAACAAATCAGAAAGAAAAAGCTGGTGATCCCATTTTGCTGAAAATGTCAGTCAGTATCTGAATGCCTGGTTTATTCCTTGTACTAGACAACATGGATATCAGAAGCCAGGTTCTGAATTAGGCTTCTGTTTGTATCATGTTATAAACCTTTAATATTCTTCAAGCATTTTAATACATGATGTCTTACTATCTACAGAAATTTTTCACCGGTGAGGAAAAAGTGACCATAAAACCACACTGGACTTAGTACCAAAAATTATTTGATCCTACCCATCTCACCCATGGATATACTATAGAACGCCCATATGTTGCTGAAAACAAAGACTAATGTGATTTTTTTCTGATGTTCTATATAGCTTGCTGGAGTAAAGTTTCATATTACACATAGGCCAGAAAATTTATTTTCTTGGTTCCTAATTTTGATTGTCTTTTCTGTAAACCCACACTCCATTAATAGCTTTAGTAGAGTCAAACATTAAGAAAAGATTGTAAGACTACTGAAATTAATATCCTTCTGTGTCAAAAAGTATTTTAGTTGTCAAAATTGACAGCATGCTACTGTTGCACTTCTGTGATTTTGTAGATGTAAATAAATGCATTTTCAAGGAATTCATTCTGAATACCTCACATGTTATTGCTATCATATGATTAAATTAAGCTAAGTAGAGCAAGCCTTAATAAAAGCATATGTTTTTCTTACTTGTGTCTCTAAGTATGCCTTTCCACTTTTTTATTGTTACAGTATTTAAATCGAGGCTGTACCAGATACTTTGCTAACAAAGAAACAGACAAGCAGATTTTGCAAAATCGCAAGAGTCCTGAGGTATGTTTATATCTTCAGTTAGGTTATATTATTAACTAATGCATATGGATTTGAAATTGATGATTACAGTTTTACAGTGTGGAATGAAATGTTCATTTAACACATCTTTATAGGTCTAAAGGGGTACTGTCAAAGCTGGTATATTCAGAACTCTGGTTTTGGAGTTCAGTCCTAGAAATACATTTTAACATGCATCTTAAAACCCCAAATGGAACAGTAGATTAAATGGTTTCCTTTTCTTTATCATAATAATATATAACAGTTAATGATCCAGCTTGTCTTCTGTGGAAAACAAAAATCTATTTAAGACTTTTTGCAATTATTTTTTTTTCAAATCTTAATACTGCTAGGAATAGGTCAGAAACAGAGCCATTTTTACTGTCTAGATTTTTTAAGTGATGCTCCAAATTGTTTTATAAAGCATTAGTGCAATCCTACTTCCTGCACAAGTATATTCCCTTTCCCAGTACACTGTGTTCTTTACTGTTTTTTTTTTTTTATTGTCCCCTTGCTATAAACAGTTACTTAAACAGAGCATGGCATTTCCTGGAAGAACCTGTGACACTACTAAACATTTCTTTCCTCTTGCTCCATTTCTGTTTACACTTTTAAAAACTGGAATTACCAGAATCTGTAGCATTTAAGCCTTTGAGCTTCTTCATATGAGGAGACAAAAGAATGTAATCGGAATTAATAGTATATGAGAATTGGAGGTTGTTTAAACACTTCATTAAACTTCTGCTCTGCTCTCTAATACAGTTTTCATCTATTCATACCTAAAGTATGAATTTTTCATTTGTATAGCTGGAAGATATTTCAGATCTTAATTAAATCCATACTTGGGATTCAGTAGCAGGCCATTCTGCATGTACATGTGGAATAACAGAAAGATAAGATTACTCAAGAGTTTCCCTCCCCCAGTGACTGTGCCTTCTCCTTTACCTTTGAGAACTTGGGTTTGAGCTTCTACAGAGCTTACCCAGCTACAAAAGACAGTGTGCGTGTCTGTGTGTGTATTCCTTTGCTCGGGTCAACATTGTATAAAGTCTGTTGCTGGATTTCTGGTGTGTTTATCTACTAACACTCAACGCAAAATGCCAATTTCTTTTGCTTGAATGTAGGCTATTTCTTATAATCGGGGATGGTGGAGAGTGAGCTATAGAAATGCTGATTCTATATTACTGTGAGGCAGAATGCTGGTAGATACTCAATTCTTGTCAAGCATATGGCCTATGTTATAGTTGGGAGTTTTGCCTCAGTTTACATGATTTGCCTTAAATTAAGACTTGTAGTCTTGTAATTTATTCTTACTACTGGAAGACGAACCTATGAAATTTGTTACTGAAATGATTTACAGATGGGTGTTCTGTCCTAAAACATGTCCTCTAAAGGACTTGATTGGAAATAAGTGTTTGTCTAAAATAACACGTACTGAAAGAATCGTTCTGAAAATATGTATTGGACATGAAGTAGTGGAACATATGTTGCCCTAAGACCTTGTATGTTACAGCCATGTCAATTTGAAGGTGCAATAAATGATTACATTTCAATGATATTAAGCTTAGTCTAGCTACTTATACAGGAAAGATACTGCATTGCTCAGTTTTGTAAAAAATATTATGATTGTTTGTATTTATAAAAGCAGATGGAATAGTCAATTAATACTCAAATTATTTTTGTGTTTTCCTTATCAGGAAGATGAGGTGATCATTTTACATAATTAAGATGGAGTTTAATTTTATTGATGTGTCTAAATGTTGTGTGAAGTGAATTTTTCAGATGCATGTGGTGTTTTGTTATAATAAAAATAATGTCAGCTTATTTGGCATTAACAAGGCTTCTATTTAAAGTTAATTATTCTTTTTAGTTGAAAACATTTTAAAGTAATTGTAAAACTGTAGATCAGTCTGTGCATGTTCAGTTAGTCTTTTGATTGCATGCAGGTGTGTTACTATCTACTATTTAAAACCACTAATAATTAAAATGGCTTTTGATGTATTTAAATTAGGAAAGTCAGCAAAATACTAAATTGGCATTTAAAAACATAGCTGGTATTCTTTTAACCTGTAGAGCACTGCAAACAGAACTTTACTTTTTCTTAATCACCAGCAAACATTAACAAGTATATTTCTCTAAATAAGTCTGTTTAGGATAGGGATCACTCTTGGATTTGTCCTGTACTCCTTTCCCATGGCCTGTCAGACTTTCTGTCATCTTACTCTACTGCTTGGGGCTAGAAGCACTCCTCGGTCCAAGTGCTTTGATAGCTTCCTTAACCAAAACCTTTTTTTCGCTGCTCTCTATTCTGTATTCCCCTGTCATTACCTATCACCCTCTCTGACTTCTGCTTTCTGAAGATAGTTACAAGCTTGTGTAGAAGCTGAAGTTTGAAGATCATGCTTAGAATTATCAACAAATTAAAACAAATTAGGGTTCTTGCAAAGCCTGTACTATATAAAGAGCTCTTTCCACTCAGTTTGGCATGCTTTTTGTTTTTTTGATATGGTTTATTCTTGACTGGAAAAAATTGGTTACATTTACTTTAAAATCACTTATTGAGTTTTTGGTTTATCTTGTTTTATAGTATCTCAAGGAAGGTTCCTTGAAGGATCCACTCTTAGATGATCATGGAGATTTTAACAGAATGTGCACAGCAATGAAAAAGATTGGATTGGATGATGCAGAAAAACTCGATCTCTTTAGAGTGGTGGCTGGTGTCCTTCACCTTGGAAATATTGATTTTGAAGAAGCTGGGAGCACTTCAGGTTAGGTGAAACATAAATTGTTTTCTGTAAAAAATACTGAAAATGTCTCTTGATTATAGATTATTCCTTTCTATGTGAATTACTGCTTTAGAAAGCTACCTTGTGTTCACGGGTAATTCAGTCTTAATTAATAGCATTTTGAAGTCAAGTTTACCTATTTGTTTTAGAGTTGTACTTCTTTACATGCCCTGAAAGCAAACAGGCAGGCTCTCAATGAAATTTTGCAAGTAATTGTTCAATGCACTTTGCTATAGAGAGACATTTTTGTATTTCAACAATAACTTTTAAAAGCCCAACTTCTTGTTAATGTTACGGAAAAATCTTGAAATTAGCAACTCCATCTATAGGGAAAGGCATTATGTCCTTTGGCTTCCAAAAATACGATCATGTTAAGTATTTTAAGAGGTGAGGAAAAAAATAAGTTACAGCAAAAACTTAGGTAAACATGAGCTTCCATAATGGATCCACAGATGGTGAGGAAAGTCAGGGTTCAGAGAAGAGGAGGACCAGAAAACTTATTTTTTTTATGAATGCTGAAATTCAGTTTTTTTCTGGAATAAATTACTGAACTTCTGAAATGTTCATTGCAAACACAGGCCTTAATCTGGCAGTATTTCTCTTACCAGAGACCCTTTGAAGTTTTGTTGCTGCTTCAGAATTTGGAGAACACCAAAAAACCTGTTCACTACAATTCAGATGGTGTTTCAGAGCTTCCAGTATCAAGTCACAAAAGTCTTAGTTTTTCAAGGACTTTTTTTTTTTTTCTTAGAATAATTATAAGGTTAAGGAATTCAAGCACTGTTTGACTAGTTATTTATCCCTTTTGGTCTCCTCGCTTACCCATAGAAACACATTTTACTGAGAACACCAGGAAATGAACACTGGAATCCTGGCATATTTAATTTTTTTATTTTGCTGAAGTGTTTGGGCACTGCAGTTAGATTTATGAACCTGCAGTGGCTGGGCAAGCTCTGGCCGTGGTGCAGAGCAGGACACACACCTCCCAGCTGCTTATCTGGGAAAACTACATACCCTTATCTGAAAATGCAAGTGCCAGGGGCCTGCGGTGCCAGGCACTCCTGTTGCATAGCAAGGAAGCCTGGAGGATTGCAGGAACATCGAAGTCCCAAGGTTTAAATCGCTAGAGTTTTCAGGCCTAATAAGACTTTTTTTTTTTTTTTTTTTTTTTTTTTCCTGATACTTCTCCATTAAAAATGGATTTAATGTCGAGAAGCATGCTCTACAGCCCCTGTGGTGGCAGTCTGGGGGTCTGCAGGGGGCTGCCTGGGCGTGACAGCAGCCTGGCTTCCTGGGGGTGACGACAGTCTGGGGGTGACAGCAGCCCAGGGTGACAGCAGCCCAGGGTGACAGCAGTCTGGGGGTCTGCAGGGGAATACCTGGGGGTGACAGCAGCTCGGGGTGACAGCAGTCTGGGGGTCTGCAGGGGAATACCTGGGGGTGACAGCAGCTCGGGGTGACAGCA